ATGAAGGAAGAAATTGTCCCGGACTTCCCACTTGTTCCTTTAGTTTTGATTAATTTAAGATGAGTATTTGAAAGACGTTTATAAATAGACAATTAACACAAAGTACGCCAACATAATGCACTTACCTTAATATCACATTTATGCAGGAATATCAATTGCTCATAACAGAGATGCAAAAACACTTTGTATTTCTGTGTTAAGTAGCATAGTTGAGCATTTTTTGGGATGAGTTTAATAATATGATTTCCATTACCTAGCTCTTTTTATGTTTTAATCTAAGAAAATTACAAGTTCTTGTGTAATTTCCACTCTCTTAGGTACTCAGATCACATGTTTTCCACCCACTAATTTCACATTGAGGCAGGCTGCATATGTGGACTCCTTCTGCTGGGCTGCTGTAGAGCATCACCCTACAGAAAATGGGGCTGATAGCGCCCCCCTTAATCTACACAAGGTAACATATAGTGAACAACAATAAAGAGGTTCTTTGTTGCTTTGTTTTTCTCTTATTCTCTGTCTCTTTACCTGCAGTTCTTTCCTTATATCCTTCTGCTGGTTGCCATCCTCATGTATATTCCTGCTCTCTTCTGGCGTTTCACGGCTGCCCCTTCCCTATCCTCTGACCTCAGTTTTATCATGGAGGACCTTGACCGTTGCTTCAACCGTGCCATTCGCCTCGCCAAGAGCCTCACATCCAAACAAGACAAAGACATTGCAGAAGACCCACACAGGTGTAGTGCACTGAACATTTAAAAAAATCTAGCTATGATAGCAACCTGAAGTTGAAAATTGTGAGAAATACAATGTTTAATTCTCACAGGGTGCTTCTAAAACTGCTTCTAAAAGTCGTTATCAGCACTGTACATTAAAAAAAAAAAAAAAAAAAAATCTTGAATTCATTCAGAATATTTAAATATTCCAGAAAGTCGGTTTGCTTCCAGACCAACTCTGGTCCAGACTGAGACTCAGTAAATCAGTATCAGTAAATATTTTTTAAAAGAAGTCTCTTATGCTTGCCAAGGCTGCATTTATTTGATCAAAAATACAGTAAACACCGTAATATTGTGAAACAATACTACAAATGTAATGGAAATAATGTTTTTCTAATTTGCTGTATTTTTAAAGTGTAATTTATTCCTCTGATGGCAAAGCTGAATTTTCAGCACCATTACTCCAGTCTTCAGTGTCACATGATCCTTCAGAAATCATCCTAATATGCTGATTTGGTGCACAAGAAACATTTCTTATTATCATCAACATTGGATCATTTTTTTCAAGAATCTTTGATGTGTGGAAAGTTCAAAAGAACTGCATTTATTTGAAATGTAAATCGTTTGTAACATTAAAAATGTCTTTACTGTCCCTTTAATCAATTTAATGCATCCTTGCTGAATAAAAGTATGAATTTCAAATCAAATCATTTTCCAGTTTGAATGCTTGTGAACAACTGGCTTCTTTGCTATTTAAGCTTCCTTTCTATCTCCTTTCCATTTCCTTTCCTTCCTCACTCATAACCCAAATATTGAAATATCCTTAATCTGCTGATCTTAACCTTAATCTTAAAACCCCTATTCTCTCTCTCTCTCTCTCTCTCTCAGTGGTCTTGAAATGACTGAAGCTTGTTTTAAGTACCCTCTTGTAGAGCAGTATTTAAAGACAAAGCGTTCATCTTGGGCTTTGGCTGCAAAGTATCTGCTTTGTCGGGTTTTAACATTCCTCACTTTACTGCTGGCCTGCTTCTATCTGACCTACTACATCTTTTGGGTGTCACCTAGTGATCAGTTCTCCTGTAACCTGCGCAGAGGTGTGTGCCAGATAGTGTTTCCGTACATGTGATACACTTCAGAAATGAATATTAACATGTGATAGTGTGTCTCTAATCATTTTATGATGTTTTTTTTTCTGAATTGTGTTTGTTTTTCTCCAGGAATTTTAGTAAATGAGAGTGTGGTGCCAGATGCAGTTCAGTGTAAGCTGGTGGCAGTGGGTGTTTTCCGCCTGCTAAGTTGCATGAATCTGGTGGTGTATTTACTGTTAGCACCGGCCGTGGTTTATGCTGCCTTCCAACCTGCTCGTCAGCACCAGCGCGCTCAGTTCCTCCGTCCATACCACCTGCTGCCTGCTTTCGGTCACGTGCTGGATTTGCAGCCTACCACTCGCCGTTATGATGACCTCAGCATCTACCTGCTGTTCTTGGAGGAAAACCTGAGTGAGCTTAAGAGCTACAAATGTTTGCAGGTTTGTACATGTGCATTTGAATGTTTGAATTTTATGCATCTGTTTTATATTTTTGTCAGAGTGTCGACTTTACAGATCTTCTTTATGCACCAAGAGCTTGTAACACTCTAAAGAGAAAGGAAAAAATGAAATCGCATCATATGACCCCTTTAATACATGGTTATATCTGGTGAAAATGCACTAATATCTCATTCCCAGAACTGAATGCTGCTGTCAGTGAGTGAAGACTAATACATTTGTTTGCGATGTGTGTACGAAGGTGTTGGAGCTGCTGTCAGAGGGAGGGGAAGCAGCGTTTGACACCATGTGTCTCCTCAGGACTCTAGGACAAGTGAGGACTGACATGGTGGACAGAAAACAAGCTCAAACTGTAAAGGGAAATGCAGAGAAAGAAATCTCTGAAATAAAGGGTAAGTGTAACATCAGAAAAGTGAAAATAAGACACACAATATCCTTAAGTCACAGTTACTTGCATTTCCTTCACAATTCATTTGCCCCTTTTCTGTATAATTTACTGCTGATATTATGTTGGCTTATTAAAAGTCAAAAATAAATCTGTAATAGTTGTGAATGTGTAAGCCAAATGTGGCTTTCATGTTTCTTATGTGAAGAGAATGAACACACTAATTCCATGTTCTTTTTATCGGGAGGACGCAGGTAAAACATCTGTCTTGTTGAACCAACTGTTGTTATATCAGCTTGTATGAATGTGTTTTATCTCTAGATGCCACTTCTGTTCTGCTGGATGATGGAGTACAGACGGAAAAAAGCTGCAGCTGTGTGAAAGACATAAGACACAGGGTGGTCTAACATATAACAAAGTCAAATCAAACTACAATGAGTTTACATGTATTTTGAATATAAAGGAAATGTAAGATTTTATAATGCTTGAATATAACACTGTTAATTTACTAATTTACTAACTGCAGAACTGAGCTGCATGAGCTTTTTATGCCTTACATTAATAGAAATGGGATGAATGTTTTTTTTTATAACTTTAATAACGTTATTTATGAGGTTGATGAATGTTAAGTCCCTATTGTATGCATTATGAAAACAATGTTACAACATATATTCTGGGGTGACATTTGTGGGTACAGTGATGTTGCAACAATGAATCTAAATAATAATTAATATGCTAATGTTAGAATACTAACAACTAACTTCTGCCAATGTTGCTTCTTGGTAACATACCATTTAAGCAATTCCTCTTAACATACAAATAATTTAAATAATTTTAGAATGACTGCAAGTGTATAATGTGAACAAAAAGTCATCAAAATGTTCTCTTTATTATAAACCATCCAATGCTAATCTTATATGCATCATGTACTTGCAAAATGAAGAAATTGGGGTGCAGAAAACGGGGGTGTTTCCCCGAGGCAACATCATAGTTAAGATAGAAGGGATATAGTCATTGTAATGTCTAAATGATTGGAAATGATTTTATGTGTGCAAACCCAGGATTAATTAGGCTCCATTTCTAGAGGTAATAATGCACTGCCTATGCAAAAGCAATAATCAAATATACAAACTATTATGTATGATATGTATAATTATATTTCACTGTTTTTAAGTAAAATATTTTGCAGTTTTGTATTTATTTGATACAGATTTACAGTATCGTGTCAGAAATGTGTTTAAATGATTTTGTAGCTCTAATTGTAATGTTTTTGTTTTATGTTTTCTAACCTTAAATCCTTCAGAGATGTTAAAATGCATGTCTTCAGAGGTGAGCTCTTCAAACATGGTGCTTGTAACCCTAAAAAATGATTTTTAATGGACTGCGTTCAGGGAAGTAGAATACAGGCTTGTAATGTAATAAAAAGCACTCTATTTCCCCCATACAACTGTATTTTTCTCTGTTATCATGGATTTATATACTATATATATGCCAAAAGTCATGGAGTTCAGAACTAATGTTCAGATATATTTCAGTAAACCAGCTTCACATTCTCATTACTGCTAAATATCAAATATTGTTGCAGTTTTATGGCTAAACTCCAGAAAATCAGTAATGAGGTGCTTTGACGGTTACAGACTTGAAAAACAAAGAGGCAGGATTAAAGAACCCTAAACTCTAAAACAAAGAATCATTTAGGCAAAAAGGGTTCTTCCGGCTGATAAGGTTCTAAATAGAAGTGTTGCTACATGTAAAGAACCATTAAAGAACCTTTTTTTTTAGATTGGAGAATAGAAGGTAGAACATTATGAAAGTATGTGATAATTTGCCATAAAATCTTTCCATTACATACATTATGAATAACCACACAAATCTTCATTGCTAGAAAATGTCACAGAGAGAACGTCACAAACATTACTAATGACTAATGAGACATTTAATCCCATTTCCCTAAAGAGTGAGATACCCGGAGACACTGCTGTTTTACTCACAAGCTTTACAAAGAAAATCCACCAGCTGTCACCTTCTAGCAGATCCATGATCAGGCCATTCTGTGTAAACTTCTATCCTCAACAGTTATTAACAATTAACCAAAACCCACTTGAGATTGTCAGCACAGGCTACTAGACCTGCGTGAGCACCAGAATGTGTTTGTCTTTCATGAGCATAGTAGCACTCAGGAGTTAATGTCAATTGGTTGGGCAAACACAGCTAATGTGGCATGTGTAATGGGACAGTCACTTAAGTGTCAAAGTGTGTTTGCGCACAAGATTTGTTTTCCGCTGATTCAGGCAAAGACTGCACAACCCACCAAAACACATGTATAAAAATGAGAAGCAAATGCTGTTCGTCCCAAACCTTCTCTCGTCTACCTTCTCTACCATTCCTCGTCCTCTGCTTCAAGAACAGGTAAGAGAACAGCAGGATGGTAAATCAACAGATAATGCTATTGCAACTGGTGTTACATGTAGATGTTTTATCAGTAAAAGTGCATATATCTGTCTTTCTGTCAGCGTGACCATGACAGTGTGGCTCCAGGCTGGTGCTCTGTTGTTCCTGTTGGCCGTCTCCAGTGTGAACGCTAACGCAGGGGCCCCGCAGCACCTGTGTGGATCTCATCTGGTTGATGCCCTCTACCTGGTCTGTGGTCCAACAGGCTTCTTCTATAACCCCAAGAGAGATGTTGAACCTCTTCTGGGTAAGGAAGACTATGTTTCTATTAGATGAGCTTTGAAGAATAGTGCGTTAATATGGGAAGAGATGCTAGGATACTAATAATACTAGAGACTGCAAAGATATTCAACCTATCCTGTAATTAATTCATTGAATATTTTGTAGTGTACACAGTCTGTTTTATTCACCTTTTAAATGCATAATGAAGATAATAATATTGAAGTAATAATATTTCTATAGCGAGAAATATTGATTAAAGCTGATCTGCATAATATTAAGCTATTTAATTAAATGACCTGCAGAAAGGTGACAGAGAACATGGAAATGAATTGTCCAGAGTGTTGTCTAAAATAATGGCAATGGTTAAAGTAACAGTTTTCTCTTTTATAATATATTTTAAAATGTGATTTTTTTCCTGTGATGACAAAGCTGAATCTAATGTGCTGATTTGGTGCTCAAGTAACATTTCTTATTATTATCAATGTTGGACTGAGTTGTACTGCTTGATATTTTTGTGGTAACTGTAATACATTTTTCAGGATTCTCTGATGAATAGAAAGTTTAAAAAACAAACAAAAAAAAAACCCAGCAAATGCCTTTACTGTCACTATTGATACATTTAATTCATAGGCTACTTGCTGAATAAAAGTATTAATTTCTAAAAAAAAAAAAAAAACTTTCACTCAAAACTTTTGAATGGTAGTGTATATGTAAACAATACTGTATGTATAATGTGTAAAACAACTTTAAAGGTGCATGTATAGTGTCTCATCAAGGCTAGACATGACATTTTGGGGGGAATTCAAAAAGATTTGAACCCCTGTGGCAATTAATATGATCTGATTGTCTGCATTTTTTCTTTATCCAACTGAATGGGGAACTTCAAAGAAGAGAAACTATTAAATTTGGCCCTGTTGTACACTATAAAACAATATAAAACTAGACTAATGTCAGGATTTTCTCTATTGTTGTATTTTTCCAGGTTTCCTTCCTCCAAAATCTGCCCAGGAAACTGAGGTGGCTGACTTTGCATTTAAAGATCATGCCGAGCTGATAAGGAAGAGAGGCATTGTGGAGCAGTGTTGCCACAAACCCTGCAGTATCTTTGAGCTGCAGAATTACTGTAACTAAAGAACCTGCACATGTCCTGTGACAACCGCCAATGACTTCACCACCTGTTTGCACACAGGTATCAGCCTTAATGCTCGTGATTTGTTTTTCATAGAAAATTAAATTTGATCAAATTAATGCTGTTGTTTTTGTATCACTACATTGCAATTTAAATAAGGTATTTAGAAATTCCAGTCATTTAAATGAGAAAACAATTCAGTTTTATTTGACAAGTTAAGAACATTAAGATAAACAGGAATAAATTACATTAGTTCAGCCCCATCTGAGTTCTCCAGATTGAAATTCAGCCTGTGCTCAGAGTCTTAGACTTTTGGTTCCATGACTAAATCTTGAAACCTCAAACCTCTAGAGTGGAGTCTAAGTCTAGTCTAACAACCTAGGTTAACCCATCATAACGGACATCATTTACTAACATTTAATTCTGACTATATACTGTATAGCTTTGTATTATAAATCTTAAAGATAGGTATTACTGTAAGGGCAGATAATCAGAGAAATGTGTTTTCATGATCTCTTTTTTTAATACTACAGTAGGTTTAAAAATATACAATGACATCATCCATTTAGATAAATATAATATCATTCAAAAGTTTAGGGTCAGTAAGATTTTTTTCCCCCAAAGAATATATAAAATATATTTAAATAGGAAAAAGTAATTATAAATTGTGATATTCCACAATATTACAGTTTTTACTGTATTTTTTATTTTTTTTATCAAATAAATCTAGCCTTGGTGAGCAAAAGAGAATGTATGTCTCATCTACCCCAAACATTTCAACAGCACTATATAACCAGTATTATTGACATAACATTCAATCTACTGATATGGCATGTTGCTCACTATCTAAAGGAAACTCAATGAGAATCACAAAAAAATTGAGAACATCATACATGTAACAAAATTGATTTATTGTTCATTCTCACTCATTTAAAGCCCTCCTGACCCTCCTTCATCACAGGATCATTTAGCTGTTTTTTCCATCATAATTAAATACATATTTTAAATCAGACTCATATTCTGAAATACTGAAACAGCAAAAAACCTCCCTGTATAGATCTTCTGTCATGCACATTACTATACTAGCCTAACACCATTAAAAAAGAAAAAGGCTTAAATAAGAAGCAAGAGATTAAGCACCAAGACTTTTTTTTTTTTTTTTTCATATATGAAAGAAACAAGTTTAATTACGGTCAACTGAAAGGCAGTGTGTTTTGCACTTCTAACACACAACCAGGCCACCACTACAGTAATTCTGAAAAGTCCTTCATTTGAGTGGTACAAACGATACCATGTGAGCCACATGAAAAGGCCACAATCCCTTTTCTCTCAAACTTTTTTAAAAGCATAACATAAAGGCTGTTTCTTTCCAACATGAAAGGAAATAAACCAACTACTCACGGCAGAAAGAGCTGCGCTGCTAATTAATAGAAACTAAAGGCACCAGGAAGAGGATGAAACAAAGTGGTAGGTGTGTGTGCGTTAAAGTGGTCAAGAGTCTAGACGCTTCTCCCACAAACTAGCCCACATCCAAAAATCAAATCGCTATGAACAGGTTTTCTCTTTAATTTACATTTGCAGTCATGTAACTGGGCTGTTCTACAGATTATAGAAACATTTTTTTTCATGCGCTCATATATTTATTAAACATACCTGCTGATCAACTTATGGCCACAAGAGGGTAGCAGAACATTCATTTACAAAGAGCAAGAGTTGAAGAATTATTATGGACTGACCCTTGATATAACTTGCATTCAGACAACACAACTGATTTGGATCAGATTCTTTCTGATTACAATAATAGGCCTATTATAATTTTTTTTAACTTAAAATTATATAAAAGATTCTGTAAAGGTTTTTTTTTTTTTTTTTTATCTCAATCACTCTGATAAATTCGATAAAATTACAATATTTAGAGTGAGAGAAATTTCACGCGAATTTATATTGAAAATTATCGTGAAATACATCGTTTCAAAGTGTCACATGCCACCCAGAATTTTGACTAATGCTCTCTTAGCAGTTTATAAGGACAGTTTATTAGTAAATTCAGCAGTTCATGTGTTGTGAGGTACATTTTCACACATTTTGATTGTTTAAATGACTCCTAATGTTGCACCATCATAACTAATCAGGGCTTCTCCTTCCTTTTTTTTTTTTTGCCAGTATTTACTCTGGCTTTAACACAATGCAACAGACAGAGAATAAACAAGTTCTCATACTCAGACTTTTAGGAGGAAAAAAAACAAAAGTAAAATCCAAAGAAGTTCTACTTCTACATCACTTCTACTTAACAGAACATTTTGTGGCACTCTTAAAGGGCCTCAGATCTTTAACCATTATGATAACCATCACAGTTACCCATCATTTTCTTGACTAACCACATTAGCATGAAGAGAAATTGCATTCTTACAAGTATAACACAGAGATGGCTGTATCAACATCTGGACTAGTTGCTAATTGTAGAGTTTTCAAGCAGTTTGCTGGAAATCTCGACACGAACGGAAAATACTACACTTCAATTAGAGTTGGGATTCTTTCAGTTTTGTTCAGCCTGGTAGAAAAGCAGCAGATACACATGAAGACGATCATGAACGAAAGTGTTGTCTAATCATTAAAGATTTGCCATATTTGTCAAGTATTTGAGTTGAATCTGACACACTCATCCCCAACCCGTCATCAAAATATGCACAACTGGTGTTGAACCCTCCTCAGCCACATTGCACTACTTTGGTACTTCAGCTTTTCTACCTTGACTGGATAGAAATAGGAAGTGGCATTTCAAGCAAAATACGTTTAGGAATAATTTCCTTCACATCAGAAGCTTTGTGGTTTAAGAGAAAAAATAAGGTAATATACATAAATCTACACATTCGACGAATCTTTGTCTCTTTATACATCATGGATTTGTCCAGAAGAGTTTAGACAGAACATGGAGATGGCAGAAGCAGAAGAGGCAAATCACGTCATTCCAATCCAGTTACAGGGAGATAACAATGAAAAAAAAAAGGTGATTTAAGGTCCATGTTAGTCAAAATTCAGGCTGTACAAGAGGTCCAAAAACATACTAATAGAGGACAAAAGACATACTAACAAATGTAGAATCATCAAGAGTGAACTTGAGTCCAGGATTAGGCTTAATCTGTGTGACCTCTCTACATTCACCTTGAAAAGGTCCATTGATCTTTTAAACCCGATGGCAAAAATGTGAACCAATCATTATTCAGTGTCGCAGTTCACAATACAGGTCTATATAAAAAGACAAAAAAGTGCTTTAGATTATTATTAAGTAAAAACAATGGAGTTCGTAAAACAGTCAAACTGGGCATCAGTAAATGCCTTCAACATGTATTATTTAAAACTTGAGTCCAAAATCAAAGTGTGAGGGTTTTGAGTTGCTGATTCAGAGTCTGAGGGTCAGAGTAAATCTGCAGTCTCAGTGATCTTGAGCCCCACACAAGCACTAACTGGAAGTGCATTCCCTAAACCCACGTGATATCGCTGCCATTTAAATCCCAGCCTTCAAAGAAAGGGCACGTATGCTCCCATTAGGTGAATTTATGAGCAAAGATCCACAGGAGACACTCAGCAAAGCAAATCCTCGTCAACATCACCTTCTAGCCTATCAGGTGTCAGAACTTCAAGTCTTTGAAGCAAGGAATAAAAACATCCTTCAAAATCCATGGTACATTTAAAGTTCGCATAACTTAAAATAGGCATGGGGTAGAAACCAATAATGGTAGAGTGGAACACAACAGCCAGGCAAAATGGTGAATATGGTTGCAGCTAAAGTGATTTCATTCATCTTGAAATAAAGATAAAAGAGAGCGAGAAAGAGAAAAGTGAAGTTAATTCTATTATTCTCCCAAAATGTTTTTAGGATGAAAGGCTGAACGACGAGTAAGTGCTTCATGGTTTTCATGACTATAGTGTCCTCTATACCACAGATCCATAAAGAGACATAAAGAAAGAGAGCAGGAGAGAAAGAGAGCAGGTTCTGTTGTAAAATGAAAAACCATTTGTATCCTTCTTGATTAGAACATCTATATTCACTCTCTAGAAAATAACACCACCCCCTTCTGTAATAAACTACATGAAGGGCAGCGCTGACATGGTGATTGGAGTCTTTGTTGGTTACACACTTTAAAAAGAATTTTCAAGAGTTCATAAGCGCACAGACCTTCATTTTTTTGTGTGATATGTGTTAATAACTGTAGATTAGGGTGCGTAGTCCTACAAAGAGTTTAGATACAACCCTAATCAAACACACCTGAACCAGATAGTCAAGGTTTTGTGGTACATTAAAAATCATAGACGTGTGTTAGAACAGGTTGGAACTAAATTCTGCAGGATGGTGGATTTTCAGGAGCAGGACCGAGCATCCCAGATGTGAGTACTGAGAGCTCAGAACTATTTTTACATACAACACTGACCTAAACAAGCTACATGTTTTAGACGCGTTTAGATGTGTGTGCAGAGCTTGTATGTAGATGTGTAAGCATGCATTGCAAGTGTGTGTGTGCAAGCGTTTGTGTGTGTATAGTTCACTAAATAACGGCCACGTGATTTTCCCCATCTCACAGTGTTTGTGGTTCTGCAGGGGCCGTGTGTGGCATCTGGGGGGGAGAATGTGGCGGGGACTGCAGAAGGGAGGTGAAATGTGGGGTCGGAGGGCAATAAGAAGGGGCGGCTGTGGGGGATGGGGGCAATCCGGAGGGCACCAATGGTCCAGGGGGTCCAAAGGGGCCAGTGGGTGACTCAGCAGGAGGCTGGTTGTAAAAGAAGAAAGCACACTGATGGATGAATGTCTCGATGATTGTCTGGTAGGTGCGCGTGGCTGTCAGGGCATCCATTGAGGTGAAGTCTGGCCGCATCAGTGTTGGCCAGAAACAGATGGAGAGATTCTCGCTGGTCATTAAGTTGACTCTGTTCCACTGACTAACCCTGAGAGAGAGAAACAGAGAGATATGATTTACTGTCTCTTCCCTTTAACTGATCTGGAATAGTTAGCAACTGCAGGTGGTTTTCAAACTCACTTGTTTAGATGGCTCATTACATATTTGAAGACATCAAAATTTTCCCTGGGAAATTGTCTTAACACATCCTTCATTGTGTGAAGCCTCTGTTCTCGATCATTAATTTCTGTGCACACAAAATTAAAAACTTGATTATTCCACAGGCTTAGACAGGCACAGTGTTATGGATGAAATAACACCCAATTTTTCGTCTTCTGCATGCAAAACTTTATTATTTTTGAATTCAAGAGGATGCATTTACATTATTAAATTCTTCACAAATGTATTTAAAGAATGTTAAGGGAAATCTTACTGAAAGTTTCCACCAGCTCCTCCTGTGAGCTGTAAGGAATCAGAGGCTCAGGCAGCTCAGAGAAGAAACTTTTCATTGCTCCGGCAACTGTGTTCACAGTGAAGTCCTTCTCCACAAGGTCCAGATTGTGGTCTAAAACGAATGAAAAATTAATATAATTAAACAAAGTGAGTCAAGGAAGAACAAGAGCAGTACAGTTTATCCATCAATATGTTTTTGTGTGCGCGGAAATAACAAAACACAAAATACATTTTACATTAAAAGCTTGTACATCCTGTCAACTAGGGGTGGGTGATATGACCAAAATCTTATATCACGATATGAGTAATTTTATTTCACGGTAACGATATATATCACAATATAGATATATTTTG